CGTTAAGCTTTAAGACTATGCACATATTCTACTAATATTACTATGCTGGCTGGTATTAAATATACTGAATACATGTTACACAGAAAATAGAAATAATAAATCACGGAGAAGTGTTCATATAGAAGTGTACACGGAGTGCTTCACTATTTCACGTGCTTTCACAATTTCTCACATGTTGGTTATTTATGTATATATGGTTTTGATCATTGGATATTGAGGATAATACACTATCTAGTTTTTACTTTATTTTTTATTTTTTGGCGGTATACGGTGGAAATGGACAATATTTTGGGATTATTACACTGAAGAAAAACTTGGGAAGATTTACTGACACTTAGAGGATTTATTATTTATATTTTTTGGACTTCAAGGGTGAAAGTGTGACATTTTAGTGTCAAAATATAGGGTATTAATTAATTTATATTGATTTTGTTTATTTGGGCGCTGATTTTGTATTTATTATGTTACACAGAAAATAAAAAATTCAAATGGAAAAAGTTTAACAGCTCCCGCATTCTTACATGAAAAATTAAAGTATACCTAAAGGCAAAACTTTTTTCTTTTTTTTTTAGTGTTTCTAAAGATGGTTTAGAACCCCTGTCAGGTTTTATTGTTGTCTGTGCCCCATTAGGGATATTCACCTTCTCTATTTGTTCTGTTTACCATTATCATTGAAAGTTAAAGTAAAGAAAATCCCACAATTTGGGTTGTCCCCAGAAAAGTAATAGAGGGGAAATCTTCCAATGGGGACACTAGTTCCGGTGACCTGGGAGTCCCCAAGGATTCTCTTAATTTGCAGGGGTTTCCTCTCATTTTCTGTTTGGTTATGGGACAGGAGGTGAAGAGAAATCTCTGAAATGGGACATGTATGGTGAAAAAAACTCTGACAGAGGTTATAAACCTCCCTTACTCTATCCAAAATGACAAAAAAAGTTTTGCCTATAGTTCTACTTTAAAACCTGTTTGTGCTGTATCCCAGAATCTATTACAGTACAGGTACATGCTAGAGGCCATCTGTACAAATCATTACTATCCTACATAAAATTGGGTCTGCTCACAGTTCTGCTACTTTTGCAATTATGGCTCATTAGCTGCTGCCACATTGTGAAGCTACTGAATTCACATATTCATGGTGTCAATGAGCCTGGTGTTTAAAACATGACACTGTTCACTAATTACATGTACAATCAGCTTCTCTGCATATGATAGATTGACATTTAATTAACTGTGGCATAGGTGAAATATTCTTTCGTCAGCACCTTCATGTTTAATATGTGCACTGCAGCAAGATGAGCTGATATATGAAGAAATTGCCAGTTTTAACTATTACCAGTAACATGGAATTTTAAAGGTAATACAATATACTTTATACATTAAGGTAGAAAAAACCCTTCTGCATACAGCTCCCCCCCAAAATACTTACCTGACCTGATCTTGATTCATCGCTGTGCCTGAGAGCAGTGGCTCTCTCCTTCCTCTCTGGACATGTAGGCAACAGCGGGAGCCATTGGCTCCTGCTGCTCTTAGAAGAGAGCAGAGGGGTGGGGCTGAGCAGCGCTCTATGTGTCAATGGGCAGGATCAAACCCAGATGAGAACACACAGCGGGAGGGGGTGGGGTGGTCAGGGCTGTCACATGATAGCAGTCTGCTGGCCCAATCAACTGCAGTTGTGGAATGTTCCACCATGCAGTCGCATGTAACAAAGGGGCAGGCATGCTGGTGACATCATTGACATTGGCCATGTGGCTATATTTGGACAATATCACTATGTATGCGTAGTCTGCATGATAAATTACATAGGGCTCATCGGGATCATCATAAGGTGTGTGTACAGGCTACCATTCACATGGGGGCTTCTCTGTCCCTGGGGGTATCATGCAGGCTGGCCTTCCCTTGGATTATCTACAGTGCATGCTACATGTGTAGTCTGTATGGTGCATTACATAGGGCTCATTGGGATCATAGGATGAGACTACCATGCACATTGGGAACAGCCATGGTCCTCCATCCTCATATGTCTGTCCCTTCCTGATCAAATGACATAGTTACATAGTTAGTCTGGCCAAAAAAGGCTAAAGTCCATCCAGTTCAACCAAAAATGCTGAAGTCCTTGAGGACTGGCCATGGGTGAATTTCCACCAGTTCATTGTACACTGTGCAGTGCAATGTATTATTAACTTGTATCACTTTCATTATTTTTCCTATTATGGGCATGTGTGGGCCTCATGTCTAAGTTTTGCCTAAGGCATCACAAAGCCTAGAGCCACCTCTGTTTCTGAGCCACATTGGAAGAAGAGTAATTGTCTTGGGTCACACATAAAATTAGACTAACAATGACAGCTGATGAGCAAAAAAGTCAGGCAGAGTTAACGATCTCTGATGTAGATAATGTACCGTTCAGACTAATAAAACTTTTTTCTGTAATAGTTTTTATTATAAAAGAGGGCAACATAAAACTAGTACTAGCTGTATGTGTTTGCTAAGTGTAAAAGCATTGTTACGAAAAATCCCCTCCCCCCCCCAAAAAAAAGTCAGCATTTTTAAGTAAGACAGTTCAATTTTGTGTTGGGCCTTATTTATAGCCATATTGGGCCGCAGGTTGGACACCCCTGTTCTAAATGAACCAAATGATAGCTAAAGTGTGGCATTGCCCAATGAAGCCCCAGTGGAGTCCCTGGAAGAATCGGTGTCTTTGGAGTGAAAGGTGAGAGCACCAAGCCATAGAGTTATTATTTTTTATTTGTCACAAAATTTTGAATTACCTATATGTGTAAAAGAATATATAAAGTCCAATATACATAAATAGTGAAAAGATCTGATATCGTGCCCTGGGTCTGAACCCACAACCTCTGCTGCGCCTGGTAGTGGCTCTTCTTGCTGCACCACCTGAAATACTAGAAATGCTGGACAGCTCCTTGTCTGATCCTTTGGACTTTCTTGCCTCGTCTCTTGTTTCTGGTGAACCTTAAACTCTTTGCTCCTCCCATGGACTTCCTGATTTAAGCCATGTCTCTGCACTTCCCAATTTATTGTGCTCTCTCCACCTGATATCTTGCTCCTTCACATACCTGCAGCTGGCCTAATCTCAACTAGCACTCATTACCAACCTTTGGCTTGTTCCTTGACTATGTTTCCACTTGATCCCAACCTGCAACCACTTGTTACCGACCTTTGGTTTGTTTACTAATTATGCTTCTGCTTGATCCCTACCTGCTGTATCTGCTACAGTATCCTGGCTGGGTCGCAGTCCCGAGGACTGCGACCTGGAACTAACAAGCAGCAAAACGCATCACCATCAGGAACACCATCAGGTGAATACTGCTTAGTGCTTAGACCCCACACCTCGGGTGAGCCCTCTTCATCTGTCAGGGTGACCTGCTGGTCATTTGGAGCCTCTCTATTGCTATAGCTACTGGTTTCTGAGCCTGACCCCTGACCATGACACCTGAGGAGAAAGAAAGTACTCTCTGTGGAAACCCCTATGCCTCCCTGCTTACCAGAGTAATCACTCCCACTTTAATGAGACGTCAGACAGTGCTCAGGTAATAACAGATCGAAAAAATCCAAGAATCACAGCCAGAAGACTCCACTTTCTTCATCCGGTGAATCATTGTATTCAAAGAAAAATGACAAACATTGTCAATATTGTCTAACAAGATTAGTGAAAAAAGTGCCCACTCACATGTGTGAAGCGGTACAGCAATCAGTATATAAATCACAGAGTATTCCATGCCGGTATGCAATGCAGACAGAAGAGAGATCTGTGTTGGTTCTGGCCAGGAATTGCCGTCTGGGACCCAATCATTGACATCCTCAGGAGCCAATGGTAGCATGGGTAGGGCGGCTACCCAGAAATGCAAAATTATGTATATTTATGTGATTTTGCACAGCGTGGCTGCCCTGTAGCAGTACCTGTATCTGCTATTAGGCTGTATTAAAGTGGTTAAAGTGTGGCTAAATATGTACTGCAGACTGGGAGATCACACTCAAAGTAACTTCAGATGGCTACCAATAATATGACAGGTTAGCTCACTTAGGAGCCCTCAGTCGGGATAGTCTAGACTTAGGTCTGAAAGTCTGTCAAATCTCCTGCACACCAGTGCTGCTACTTGAGTCTGAATAGTTTTTTTATATAAGCTTCTGCCTGCTCAGTTGGGGCATTTGTGTTGACACACAAAGCCAGGTTATGTCACTGGGCAGGTTCAATTTAAGGTGTGAAGGTAATGGGGATGTTTGCTTTAAAATGTGAGGTTAATGAGCAACTTCCATAAAGAAGGACTGTACTTAGTCAGTAGGAATGCCTTTTTTTTAAATTGGCTAAGCAAGGATAAATGCTGTTGAAGCCAGGAGTGTGCTAAAAGAAATTATAATCCAGTTTAGCAGTCTGGGTTCAGTGGCAGCTTTAGTGGAGAAGGCAGCAGCTTACAGTCATGGATGGTAGCAATGTGTTTTAACTCTTATTATGGATATTGTCAATAAATGATAATAGCCCAGGAAGGCCTACATGGCAACAAGAACTAACCGTAATTATTACAGTGAAGTGTGGGTCATGACACTCTCACCCAATCCTTCTGCGTAGTCCTGGAAGAATACAAGTTTTCGTGTGGTTGGGGGCCCCCTTAAATGGTGATGTGGCTGTGGCAATCTGGTACTCTATACAGCAGCTCCAAATGTTGAAGGAACACCCCAGAGTAGTCTCCTCAGTTCATGGCTCGGCACAACCATCTGCTCCTGTGCTCACTAGCAGCTCTGTTAACTGCAGATGGTCCAGACAGCACAAACCAGAATAGTTACACACATACACGTCTCCCCCCCAACTGCCTGGGCTTTTCCTTTTATATCGTTCCTCCCCTTGGCTGTATAGAAAGTTCTGCATCCAGACTACATCTCCCAGATTGTCCTTGTATTAATGCTATAGTGAGGAAAAGTGCTGAATACTGCCATATTGTGGGCAAATAGAGTTCTGCACCCTCAGTAACAATACACAGTGTTGCATTAGATATACACTATATTGCCAAAAGTATTGGGACACCCCTCCAAATAATTAGATTCAGGTGTTCCAATCACCTCCATGGTCACAGGTATATAAAGTCAAGTACCTAGGCATGCAGACTGCTTCTACAAACATTTGTGAAAGAATGGGTCGCTCTCAGGAGCTCAGTGAATTCAAGCATGGTACCGTGATAGGTTGCCACCTGTGCAATAAGTCCATCCGTGAAATTTCCTTGCTAATAAATATTCCACGGTCTACTGTTAGTAGTATTATAACAAAGTGGAAGCAATCGGGAACAACAGCAACTCAGCCACCAAGTGGTAGGCCATATAAAATGACAGAGCGGAGTCAACGAATGCTACAGTGCACAGTGCACAGAAGTTGCCAACTGTCTGCAGAGTCAATAGCTAAAGGCCTCCATACTTCATGTGGCCTTCAGATTAGCACAACAGTGCACACAGAACTTCATGGAATGGGTTTCCATGGCCGAGCAGCTGCATCCAAGCCTTACATCACTAATGAGCAATAGAAAGCATTGAATGCCGTGGTGTAAAGCACACCGCCACTGGACTCTAGAGCAGTGGAGACGTGTTCCCTGGAGTGAAAAATCACGCTTCTCTGTCTGGCAATCCAGTGGATGTGTCTGGGTTTGGCGGTTGCCAGGAGAAGAATACTTGCCTGACTGCATTGTGCCAAGTGTAAAGTTTGGTGGAGGGGGGATTATGGTATGAGGTTGTTTTTCAGGGGTTGGGCTTGGCACCTTAGTTTCAGTGAAGGGAACTCTTAAGGTGTCAGCATACCAAGACATTTTGGACAATTTCCTGCTCCTTTGTGGGAACAGTTTGGGGATGGCCCCTTCCTGTTCCAACATGACAGCGCACCAGTGCACGAAGCAAGGCCCATAAAGACATGGATGAGTGAGTTTGGGGTGGAGGAACTTGACTGGCCTGCACAGAGACCTGACCTCAACCTAATAGAATGCCTTTGGGATGAATTAGAGTGGAGTCTGTGTGCCTGACCTCACAAATGCGCTTCTGGAAGAACGATCAAACATTCCCACAGACACATTCCGTAACCTTGTGGACAGCCTTTCCAGATGAGTTGAAGATGTTATAGCTGCAAAGGGTGGGCCAACTCAATATTGAACCCTACTAAGACTCTGACTATGACTGGGGTGCCATTAAAGTTCATGTGCGTGTAAAGGCAGGTGTCCCAATACTTTTGGAAATATAGTGTACATTAATATTGGAGATGAGAAAGATATTCTAAAGAGATGTACAATTAAGAAGTGGTCAGGGTCAGGTTTTACTCTGTAGCAATGCTACTTTAGAGCAGCTGGGGGATGGATTGCTGAATCAAGCTGCAAAATAATATAATTCTATCTCATACTCTATCTCACTTTCCATGTATAGCATTTCCTTCTTGGTCTACAGAATTGATATAGGCCTCTCTCTCTCTGCATACTGTATCTGTCTTTCTCACAGTATACCTTTTTACAAGGAAACTGAATAAATTGACATACTGACAGCCACTATAGAGAATACCAAAAATCACAAATATAATCCTAGACACATGGCACAATAAACACATACAATAGGAAAATCACATACAATCCTCTCTTGCTAGTTTTACAATATCAGCTACTGAATGAATGACTACCCAAGCAGCCCATAGATTTTTATTTTTGGTATTGAGGTATTATATTCTGACAGAGGGGAGACTTTCCTGTCTTCAGAATACATTAATCAGCCCTGCCAACTATAGCCTGTGGCGCTGATTGCGTGGGGAAAACCGGCGATATTTTTTGTAGAAAAATGCATTGGTAGATTGACATCTGTACAACCAGTCTGCCCATGCATGGATTGAAATTGGGATGGTCAGTGCTGAATCATCTGAATTTCGAGCCATGTATGGATGACTATGGTGAATAGGCACAGCAATAGCCTCTGTTTAATATGGGACAGTGTGGTGAAAAAAGAAGTGCCTTGAATATGGAAAATGTTTTTTATGCAGTTCTCCATCATTTTCTGCACAATTATGCCACCTCTCTTTGCTCACTTTACATTCTGCTCCACCGCAGATAACTTTTTCCTTAGGCTGGCAAGACACATCATTATTTCTCACAATCCATTAATTTCTAATTAGAATTAATTAAATTGCTAAGTAGAAAGCATCTACTTTTTCAATGTAAATGGATTCGACTGAATAAACTGAGCATGAGCGGAAAAGTAACTTATTTAAAGGTGTTCAGTATACCCGTCCGCACAGTTATTGAAGTCTATGTAAACCCTTTCATTAAAATTTAATATAAATTTAATGATGTAAATTGTATATAAACAGTCATTTTCAATCATTTTAAAACCACAGCTTTCGTTAAATAATATTGGTTGATCCTGCCATGACAGTATTTGTTCAGGCACTTCCTGTTTTAGAATGACAGCATACTGTCCCTGTCAAAAATGATGTCACCCAGGCTTCTTGGGTAGATTACAAGTGGCCCATTAAACACATATTTCGCAAACATGGTCTACTGTGGTTACAGGAAATCTGCCCTGAGAAATACCATGCAGCCATTGCCATGCATGTAGTAAATGTGGTTACAGGAAATCTGCCCTGAGAAATACTATGCAGCCATTGCCATGCAGCCATTGCCATGCATATAGTAAATGTGGTTACAGGAAATCTGCCCTGAGAGCCATGCATATAGTAAAATACTATGCAGCAGCCATTGCCATGCATATAGTAAACGTTAAGAGGCTGCAAGAGATCAACAGCACTAAGCTACAACTAATGACAGAAAACAGTGAAAATAGTACTTTTTTAAACAAACCATGGCATTTGTTTATGTGCTTTAGAACACCAAATAGCATTCCCTGAAGGCCCCATTCCATTTTTGCAGCACTTTAATGTGCATTGCATACCAAATTATCCCACAACCTGACATATTAAAGTCTCTAATGCCATGCATGGTTAAGCACTATGGTGCATTGCATTAGTGCATTGGGGTGCCATTCACAATGAATGAAAAAATGTAAATGGACCCCTAGGGTTTACATCTGTCTCAAGAGTCATTCATAAATCCAATCATAATCCTTTTCAAACTAAAGTAATATCATTTTCAAATAATCTTTTTAAATTTTAATATTTTAATTATGATTGTTTGCATGTAACAGGCATAGAATTATTTGTTTGATCTCTTGATCATTGCTTCATAAGAACCCCTTCACATGATAAAATGTCAGCGTGGGTGCAATGTAGTGTACCCAGGGTCTCATGTTGGTTACCTACAGTTTTCTTTAGACTTCTATATGTCCCTCATTTTTGGTGCTTTTTCTGAAAGTGTGCCAAAGTTGCAGCATGCAGGACTTTTGGTGTGCTTTCAGAAAAAAGCGCAGGACATAATAGAAGTCTACTGGAAGTCGTGGGCAGCCGTAGGTACACGGAACTGCATTCGCGCTGAGGCCAAACCACAGCATGGCTGTGTGAGACCACTCTAAGTTTATTTTTTTTGTATGTTCAGTATTATACCACTTTTTCAAAGCAAGGAAAATAAAGTAACATTTGTATTTGCCAAGCCATTACATACACTGTAGTGTCCAAAGGCTGGCAGCACGCCAATAGCAACATTAGAATTGCTAATCAGAAGTGTTGGAATTATGTGAGAGAGCATGTAACACCCACTTACCGCCTACTTCATATCTCCCAGGGATTTAAATAAGCTGTTTTATTTTAGGAGATGGAATTTTTTAAAGCTATATTATCATTCAACGCATGTTTACTTTTAACACTACCTGTGAATGGGCTAATTAAGTGGCAGATTATAGGACTGATTTTATCTTCCAAAAATTCACCCATCCAATTGCTATCTCTTTTTCTGATAGGTAGGCAAGAAAGGCTGAACGTATGAGGGCAACATCTGAGCATGAATATAGTCATACTATTATTACTGTTAAAATACGGAGATAACGAAGTCCAAATACAATAAGTCATTTATTTATATTTTTGGGATTATTCTCTCAAATGCATTGAATAAGAAGGAGCAAAAACAAGAATCATAAAAATAATGGAAGCAAACCCTGCAATGGAAAACGCTGCAAACTGCAACCATATCAATCCATCAAAAAGTGTCAGACACTCAAAAGGGATCTTCAATATCTCCAGATCATACAGCTGCACCTCCAGTAATGTTGTGTACCTTATCCAGTGCAGAAAATGCAGCAAAGGATCTTATGTTGGTGAAACAGGACAGACGTTGCAAACAAGGATGAATTTGCACAGACATATCATCAAGGAACATAAAGAAGATGACCTATGCACACCTGTGGGACACCATTTCACACAACCAGTCCACACAATGGGAGACCTCAAAATTTTAGTTCTTAAAGGAAATTTCAAATCCATTCAGGAAAGAAAAACGTTTGAACTAAGAATGATAATTCTATTTGACACAAGAGATAACGGCCTGAATTTGGACATGGGATTCCTCACTCATTATCCAATATTTTTATGGCTATTAGCTTAAGCTTAACTCCCTCTGTGTGAGTGTAGTATTCCCCTCCCCCCTTGCTTTTGCTGTATCTTATCTCTAGCTTCTTTTTTTTTTTCATCCCTTCTAACGTTCTGCTGAAACTTTGTGATTTGTAATAGTACTGCTAGGACTTTGAAGAAGGGGACATACCCCGAAAGCTTGTCCTTAAAATTGTATGTTAGTGCAAATAAAAAAAAGTATCACGGACAGTACTCAATTGTTTACTGCAATGAAGAAATTCAAAGAAGCAAGATGGAAATTGCTGTGAGTGAACACATTTATAACAGTGTATGTGGTTTTCATATGGGAAAGTTCATTCATTTCTAAATCGAATGTTAAAAGCAAGCAACATTTTTCAGTACTTTCAAAAGACATTCGTCAAGTCATCAAATGTAGTGAGAATTTTAGTCAGAATTGTTGTACAAAATTTTGAAAATCTGCTAGTGCATGGCCAGCTTTACTGAGCCAGTAAGATATCATAAAACACCATCATGCAACACTTTTGACATTAAGCACATGCTGCGTACAAGCGTTACAAAAATGATATAACAATGGCTTCCTATAAATAAAATCCACTTAGCACATACTGTACACTATTTTATTGTACCTTGTCAAGTTTTAGACTTAGGTCATTCTTAAATGGTTACTGTAAGTGGGTGGGCAAAG